AACTAAATAATCAACATACACTGGGGGGATGTGTTTAGATTAGAAATACAATTATTTCTGAACATGTTCTGGAGCTGTTTATAATAAAGCCTGTCACAGTATTGCATGGTCTTGGATTCCCCACGTTAATTTCTGTGCTAAGAAAATAATTTATTTTGCCTTCAGACAGCTTTAGGGACAACTGAATTGTGTTTTTTTCTCCTCACTTGGTTCGTTTGTTTTATTTTTTTATGTTATAGCCCGTTTTTCTGCATATAACACTTGAAGCGATCAATAACAATAATAATGAAGATGCATTGTCACAAAGTTGGAGAAAGCAATTTTGGAGGAAGAGAACTTTTGACTGTGTGACACCCCCACCCCCCACTTTTTAAAAATGTGAAGTAAATAAATAACAGCAAGAGAAAAAGAGCAGATAAAAATCAATCAGGTGTCAGAACAGTCAACAGGCAGTGTTCACTAAAAACACGTTGAAATGATCAGTAACAAAAGAAAGTCAACTATTTGCTCCAAGCATGATTTTATTTATGATTTTCTGTAGCTGCTTTTCATATAAAATATGGCACTGGGGCTCAGTTACACATATTTGCATGTAAGGTAAAGGTAAAATGTAAAGGACCCCTGGACGGTTAAGTCCAGTCAAAGGAGACTATGGGGTTGTGGCGCTCATCTCGCTTTCAGGCCAAGGGAGCTGGTGTTTGTCCACAGAAAGTTTTCCGGGTCATGTGGCCAGCATGACTAAACCGCTTCTGGCGCAATGGAACACCATTTATCTTCCCCCCCAGTGGTACCTGTTTATCTACTTGCACTGGCATGCTTTCGAACTACTAGGTTGGCAGGAGCTAGGACAGAGCAATGGGAGCTCACCCCGTCATGGGGATTCGAACCACTGACCTTCTGATTGGCAAGGCTAAGAGGCTCAGTGGTTTAGACCACAGCCTTCCTCTTAGCATATTTCTCCCTTTTGTCCTGAGTTCGAGTGTCTTCAAAGCCCATGACACCTTTGGTAAAGGCTGTTCTCCAACTGGAGCGTTCGCAGGCCAGTGTTTCCCAGTTTTCAGTGTTTATACTACATATTTTAAGATTTGCCTTGTCTTTAAACCTCTTTTGTTGACCACCCACATTACGCTTTCCATTTTTAAGTCTGGAATAGAGTACAGTGGTACCTCGGGTTAAGTACTTAATTCGGTCCGGAGGTCCGTTCTTAACCTGAAACTGTTCTTAACCTGAAGCACCACTTTAGCTAATGGGGCCTCCTGCTGCTGCTGCGCCGCCGCTGCACGATTTCTGTTCTCATCCTGAAGCAAAGTTCTTAACCTGAAGCACTATTTCTGGGTTAGCGGAGTCTGTAACCTGAAGTGTTTGTAACCTGAAGCGTATGTAACCTGAGGTACCACTGTAGTTGCTTTGGAAGACGATAATCAGGCATCCGCACAACACGACCAGTCCAACAAAGTTGATGTTGAAGAATCATTGCTTCGACACTGGTGGCTGGAGTAGGACCAGCTGGGAGCTGTCCAGCAGAACTACCAGGTGGTGGCAATCTTTGCCAGGAGGCCTGGACCAGAGGAGGAACTGTCCAACAAAATCCAGAGCTAGCTTAGCAAAGCTTGGCGAGGCGCTGACTCAGAACTCTTGCACCAGCAACTAACAGAGATAAAAGGTGAATGTGCGTGTTTTTAGCAGAACCAGCTGCCGTGCCTCTTCCTGGAGTTCAGTGGCGTAAAAAAGACATGCTTCATCCGAGCTCAGCTCCCATTCAACCATTTGAGGCACAGTGACTCCACAGCCCTGGAGCAAACTCCAAAGAGGAAATATGTCAAAGACTGTTTTCCCTCTACCCCCAGCTCTGAGTCCCAGCAGTTGAAAGGTTCGTGCCCCCATTTTATCTTCTGCCAGGGATATGCCCTTTCCTACTGGAGAATAGGAATATTGAGATATAACCAGTAACGGGATATTATAAGCTATAATGCCTGTTGTCTTTGTCCATGGAGTTTTCTTGGCAGGGATACTGGAGTGGCTTGCCGGTTCCTGCTCCAGGTGGAACACGATTAGTCAAAACTCTCCACTATGACCTGTCCATCTTGGGTGGCCCTGCACGACATAGCTCATAGCTTCTCTGAGTTATTCATCACCTTGCCAACAAAGGTCTGTATAGTTACAGCTATGGTTTTCCCAGTAGTGATGTATGGAAGTGAGAGCTAGACCATAAAGAAGACTGACTGCCGAAGAATTGATGCTTTTGAATTATGGTGCTGGGGGAGACTCTTGAGAGTCCCATGGACTGCAAGAAGATCAAACCTCTCCATTCTGAAGGAAATCAGCCCTGAGTGCTCACTGGAAGGACAGATCGTGAAGCTGAGACAAGGAGAAGGGGACGACAGAGGACGAGATGGTTGGCAGTGGAAGATAGGAGTGCCTGGAGTGCTCTGGTCCATGGGGTCACGAAGAGTCGGACACGACTAAACAACAAGAACAACATAAGCTATAATCAGGGCTCCCCCCCCCCCACAAGCCGGAACTCATCAGAACTCAGTTCCAGCACCTCTCATTGCCATTATATGAGAACAAGGGAGGCACTTGTGGCAAGTTCCGGCCCCTTAAGGTCCATAAATAACAACACCTTAGAGGTCTCGGGCCCTAAGGAAGTCAGATTAGCCTCAACCAAAGCCAGGGCCTTTTCAACACTGGCTCCAGCCTGGTGGAACGCTCTGTCTCATGAGACCAGGGCCCTGAAGGATCTGATTTCTTTCTGCAGGGCCTGTAAGACAGAGTTGTTCCGCCTGGCCTTTGGCTTGGAATCAATTTGATCCCCTCCCCCTATTTTTCCTTTCTCCTTCTGTGTTGGAACTCCTATCTGGGGACTTCCCTGGCTTTTTTCTGTCCCATGTGGGACCAGTCTGGATAGTTAGCCTTGGTGAAGACTTGACGTTTTTATCCCCCCCAAAGTTTTTGATTGAGTTTCCACTGAAATGAGGCTGCATTTTAATGTTTTAATGTTGTATTTTAATCTTGTTTTTTAAGCTGTATTTCAATCAATTGTTTTGATATTTGGTGTTAGCCGCCCTGAGCCCGGTCTTGGCTGGGAAGGGCAGGGTATAAATAAAATTTATTATTATTATTATTGAAAAATAGCACTGGATATAATAACACCTGGATAGCTCAATTAGTAGAGCATGAGACTCATAATAATAATAATAATAATAATAATAATAAATAATAATAATAATTTATTATTTATACCCCGCCCATCTGGCTGGGCCTCCCCAGCCACTCTGGGCGGCTTCCAAAAGAATATTAAAATACTATAATACATCAAACATTAAAAGCTTCCCGAAACAGGGCTGTCTTCAGATGTCTTCTAAAAGCCTGGTAGTTGTTGTTCTCTTTGACATCTGGTGGGAGGGTGTTCCACAGAGAAGGCCCTCTGCCTGGTTCCCTGTAACTTAATCTCAGGGATGTGAGTTTGAGCCCCACGTTGGACAAAAAGATTCTTGCTTTGCAGGGGGTTGGTTTCGACGACTCTCGTGACCCCTTCCAACCCTACGATTCTATGATTCTATTCTTCTCCTTGATTGGAGTTTGATGTTATGCTGTTGCTTTGAGTTTCATTCTTTTGCTAGCCAGCCTGGAAATGCCAATGCCAAATGACTCTGAAGCGTGGCATACGAATCTTAGCAATAAATGACTTTTGTTTGCTTATTTTTTTTTATTAATACCTTATACCCCCATTTCCTGTTCAAAACAGAACATCCAGGGGGGATAACAATGGAAGGGGAAAAAAAAGAGGGATTAAAAGATACATAAAACGATCAGATACAATAAAATCAACCCAAAATCGTGGAAAAAACCAGTAATAAACAGAACAACTAGCCCTCTAACCCACCAACCTTTGGAGCAAAAAGGCTTTTACAGTATCTCCTGAATGGGTGGTAAACACCCCAGGCTTTGAGCCCAGAGTTCTCTATCTGTATGCCTCCATTTTGCAAACCTGGAACAATGATTACATTGTTACTTCCGAGTCAGCATTTTTTTTCTTAGCAAGATTTCGGCAGGCCATACGTCATCGTTGGAGCACACGCATTGCACGCAGAATGTTCCGGGTTCAATCCTTGATATTGGAAACCCTGGATAGCCTACAACCTCTCAATGCAGACACCACTGAACGAGGTAGACCAGGGGTCAGCAAACCTTTTCAGCAGGGGGCCGGTCCACTGTCCCTCAGACCTTGTGGGGGGGGCAGACTTTATTTTTTTGGGGGGGGGGGAAATGAACGAATTTCTATGCCCCACAAATAACCCAGAGGTGCATTTTAAATAAAAGCACACATTCTACTCATGTAAAAATACCAGGCAGGCCCCACAAATAACCCAGAGATGCATTTTAAATAAAAGGACACATTCTACTCATGTAAAAACACGCTGATTCCCGAAACCGGATGGAGAAGGCGATTGGGCCGGATCTGGCCCCCGGACCTTAGTTTGCCTACCCATGAGGTAGACCAAGGATCTCACTCCGTGTAATCAGGGGCGGACTCTGGTAATATGGCGCCTTTAGCAAGGACAAAAATTGGCACCCTAACCCCCCCCCACAATATTTCTTATTTCCCCAACAATTCCTTTCCTATTTATTATTATTCTGCACCCCCTCAGCTCGGCGCCCTTTGCAGGGGAACCACCTGCACTACAGCAATGGTATAAGGCATTTTCCTTTGTACCCAGACTGTCTGCTAAAAGCCCAGAATTGCTGTTGATTAACAACAACAACAACAATTTATTATTTATACGCTGCCCATCTGGCTGGGTTTCTCCAGCCACTCTGGGCGGCTCCCGACAGAATATTAAAACATCAAACATTAAAAACTTCCCTATACAGGGGTGCTCTCAGATGTCTTCTAAATGTCAGGCAGTTGTTTATTTCCTTGACATCTGATGGGAGGGCGTTCCACAGGGTGGGCGCCACCACCAAGAAGGCCCTCTGCCTGGTTCCCTGCAACCTCACTTCTCACAGTGAGGGAACTGCCAGAAGGCCCTTGGAGCTGGCTGCATGATGGGGGTGGAGACGCTTCTTCAAGTGCATCATAATGAGCTAATGAGGTTAGGAGATGGTCACTGGGTAGGTGGGGGGTTTCTCTGTTAGCTTTGAATCTCTCTGTCATTTTGAATGAGGATTACATCATTGGAAAAGGCGGAGCCCATTTTAGAGCTGGCAGGAAGCAGCAGCAGAGGCGTGCGGTGCTTGCAAGAGACACAAATAGGTGAAAGTGCCTTTGCACGTGGGGTTCCCTTTGCAATAGCTGCTGCGCTGCTCGCTTGAGGTACCTGTTCCCCAAATCCTTTACCTGTATTATTTGTAAATCCCCAGTTATTGCATATCCACCGTAAGCCTCCAACACACTCTCATCAAAAGAAAACTCAACCCGGCGGTGGTGGCCCCAGAATTTCTCCTTATATCCTTATCTCCTTATGGCCCATTTTCTTGTGATAGCAGGTAGGAGTCCATTTCTTAAGTATGTTTGACCTGAGCTATTTTATTTGAAGGCGGTGGGGTTTTAAGCAACAGAACAATGCCCACTGCAGGCGTCGGCTGTATTAGGGGCTCTGCTCTCAGGCGCCAGCACAACGCCTTCGTTTCTGATGTTCCAAAGTTCTGGTGTTTGCAGGATCTTTATCACGACTTCCTCAAAGGCAGTTTCCACGCCATCCTTCATTTTAGCACTGGTCTCTAGGCAAAAACAAACAGCAAGGCACTGCTTGAAATGTGAAGACCTAGGCTTTTCGGAGTTCCAGTTTGCATTCAGAGTGGCGTTAGTAAAGGTAAAGGTAAACGTACCCCTGCCCGTACGGGCCAGTCTTGACAGACTCTAGGGTTGTGCGCCCATCTCACTCAAGAGGCCGGGGGCCAGCGCTGTCCGGAGACACTTCCGGGTCACGTGGCCAGCATGACATCGCTGCTCTGGCGAGCCAGAGCCGCACACGGAAACGCCGTTTACCTTCCCGCTAGTAAGCGGTCCCTATTTATCTACTTGCACCCGGAGGTGCTTTCGAACTGCTAGGTTGGCAGGCGCTGGGACCGAGCAACGGGAGCGCACCCCGCCAAGGGTTATTCGAACCGCGACCTTTCGATCGGCAAGCCCTAGGCGCTGAGGCTTTTACCCACAGCGCCACCCGCGTCCCATAGTGGCGTTAGTACCAGGCACCAAAAATACTAAATACGAGCTGCTAAACTGCTGCAGTCCCCGATTGCAAGGGGAAGATCCCCTCTCAACTCATTGCTCCCACTTCTGTATTTAAACCTAACTGGGGATGGATGCAGTAGGCAGAAATCAGGCAGCATATCAGCACAGAAGTTATTAAGAACAGTGATCTGGGGCTTAGGAATGCAGGGCCCATCGATTGCCTTAAAGGTAAAGGGACCCCTGACTATTAGGTCCAGGCGTGGCCAACTCTGGGGTTGTGGCACTCATCTCGCTTTATTGGCCGAGGGAGCTGGCGTACAGCTTCCGGGTCATGTGGCCAGCATGACTAAGCCGCTTCTGGTGAACCAGAGCAGTGCATGGAAACGCTGTTTACCTGCCCACCGGAGCAGGTATCTATTTATCTACTTGCACTTGACGTGCTTTCAAACTGCTAGGTTGGCAGGAGCAGGGACAGAGCAACGGGAGCTCACCCCATCGCGGGGATTCAAACCGGCGACCTTCTGATCAGCAAGCCCTAGGCTCTGTGGTTTAACCCACAACGCCACCCAATCGATTGCCTTACTGTAAATTAAATCAGGCTTTGTATTCATTTGATCTTTTATGTATGAATTTATTCTGAAACAGCGTATAGAAATAGCATGGAAGGAAAGTCTGGACAGTTGAAGCAGGGGTAAAGACTTTTTTAACATTCATTTTCTAAAGGGGTTTCTAAAAAGGTAAAAAGACAAAGGACCCCTGGACGGTGAAGTCCAGTCAAAGGCGACTATGGGGTGGCGGCGCTCGTTTCACTTTCAGGTCGAGGGAGCTGGTGTTTGTCCGCAGACAGCTTTCCGGGTCATGTGGCCAGCAGGACTAAACCGCTTCTGGCACAACGGGACACCGTGATGGATACCAGAGTGAACGGAAACGCTGTTTACCTTCCCGCCACAGCGGTACCTATTTATCTATTTGCACTGGTGTGCTTTTGAACTGCTAGGTTGGCAGGAGCTGGGACAGAGCAATGGGAGCTCACCCTGTTGTGGGGATTCAAATTGCTGACCTTCTAATCAGCAAGCCCAAGAGACTCAGTGGTTTAGACCACGTCCCTAAAGGGGTTTCTATTAGTAGCTGTTGTGCAGTTAGTTAGTTAGTTATGCCTAATGCCCTCATGTGGCAAAAGCAAGGAGCAATCATGGATCTGTTAAAGATCTGTTGTGGTTCTTCTTTGTTAAATGCATGCACCCATGTTTGTACAAAGAAATATTAACTACTAAAGAGCAAAGAGATTTCCCTGAAAGAGCAGGCCTCTCTTTGTAGAAGGTAAATTGATGCTTTGGTTTATTTCTGCGCAGTTGAAATATTGTGAAAGGAAATTGTATCCACAGTGCCATTCACCAAGGGGGTTTATGGGAGGAGCTGATGGAAACTTGTTTGTGGGTTCTGCTAATTTTGAGAAATCTGTTGCCACGGCCAATAGGATTGCCTAAACAGACACACAAAGAAGAAGAGCTGTGCAACTGCTTTGCATCCAGATGTTCCCAACTAGGATGCCCTGCATCTAGAAGAAGAACTGGGAATGTTCTTGGCCTGAATCCCCAGACAGCAAATGCCACTCACTGTAGACAATACTGAGCTAGATGGAGCAATGAGTCTGACTCACTCTAGCAGCCTTTCTCAACCTGTGGGTCCCCAGATGTTGTTGAACTACAACTCCCATCATCCCTAGCTAGCAAGGCCAGAGCTCAGGGATGATGGGAGTTGTAGTCCAACAACATCTGGGGGATCTTCCTTTTACTGCTGCCATCTCTGTGTCTTGAACAGCAGTCTTGCAAGCAGACACGGAGCAGGTGAACCCTTTCCTTGCTTGGAGAGGAACATGGATTTACCTGCTCATTTTCTGCATGCAATATTGCTCGTTAAGACACATGGATGGGACCAACAGAAAGGTGACTGCTCCAATATGTTCTGAAGGCAGACCGTATTGGAAGGGTTTTTATGCTTGACATTTTATTATGTTTGTATGTTTTGCTGGAAGCTGCCCAGACTCGCTAGGGTATAAATAAAATAATAATAATTATCATTATTATTCCCCTGTTTCAACCTTGGTAAACCAGCCACCCCCTTCTGTGGGTTCTCTTCACATACCTATGAAGAGCATGGAGTGTTTCTGAGCAAATTGCAAGCCTTCCTTTCTGTCTACCTCACGATCCGTCTATAGATAGGGAGAGAATGTTATCAGACACTGGACCCAAGTGGTGGATTGTATAAACACACACACACACACACACACACACCAAATCAGGATATTGCATTCCTACTGAATCAGTAAATGTCCAGCTAGATTATCTTAACAGCTCTGCTACCATCCCTCAGTTTTGACAGCATTTGAAGGTTTTAGCTGCTAAATTCCAAACTGTCAAATGCTGGAACAAGAGGGACAGGGCAACAGAATTGACAACAGTAATTATGTCGCCCAACCCCAAGGCATCTTTCCTAAGGGCTCTCCAAATGATACAAACATTGCATTTAATAAGCTTTATCTTGATTAGGATAACTGATGCTCATGAATGCATTTCTGCCTCTGTTTTGTCAGTGATTGAAAGGGAGAGGAGAACAAGGGCCCAACTAGGATGCCCTGCATCTAGAAGAAGAACTGGGAATGTTCTTGGCCTGAATCCCAGACAGCAAATGCCACTCACTGTAGACAATACTGAGCTAGATGGAGCAATGAGTCTGACTCACTCTAGCAGCCTTTCTCAACCTGTGGGTCCCCAGATGTTGTGAACTACAACTCCCATCATCCCTAGCTAGCAAGGCCAGAGCTCAGGGATGATGGGAGTTGTAGTCCAACAACATCTGGGGATCTTCCTTCCTTTTACTGCTGCCATCTCTGTGTCTTGAACAGCAGTCTTGCAAGCAGACACGGAGCAGGTGAACCCTTTCCTTGCTTGGAAGGAACATGGATTTACCTGCTCATTTTCTGCATGCAATATTGCTCGTTAAGACACATGGATGGGACCAACAGAAAGTGACTGCTCCAATATGTTCTGAAGGCAGACCGTATTTGAAGGTTTTTATGCTTGACATTTTATTATGTTTGTATGTTTTGCTGGAAGCTGCCCAGACTCGCTAGGTATAAATAAAAAATAATAAAATTATCATTATTATTCCCCTGTTTCAACCTTGGTAAACCAGCCACCCCCTTCTGTGGGTTCTCTTCACATACCTATGAAGAGCATGGAGTGTTTCTGAGCAAATTGCAAGCCTTCCTTTCTGTCTACCTCACGATCCGTCTATAGATAGGGAGAGAATGTTATCAGACACTGGACCCAAGTGGTGGATTGTATAAACACACACACACACACACACACACACCAAATCAGGATATTGCATTCCTACTGAATCAGTAAATGTCCAGCTAGATTATCTTAACAGCTCTGCTACCATCCTCAGTTTTTGACAGCATTTGAAGGTTTTAGCTGCTAAATTCCAAACTGTCAAATGCTGGAACAAGAGGGACAGGGCAACAGAATTGACAACAGTAATTATGTCGCCCAACCCCAAGGCATCTTTCCTAAGGGCTCTCCAAATGATACAAACATTGCATTTAATAAGCTTTATCTTGATTAGGATAACTGATGCTCATGAATGCATTTCTGCCTCTGTTTTGTCAGTGATTGAAAGGGAGAGGAGAACAAGGGTTCTTGAATTGCCTTTCCCCCATCCCTGGATAAAACAATAGCAGGGCTGTTATTTCTGAGGCTGATGCCGATTTAAAAACACAACGATCTGCGACCTAGCCAAACGCCAGCCTGGGATTCCCTTTTTTGCATGCACAAAGCTACCCAGAGATGGCTGTGAGTCTTAATTGCATCAATTAAGGACTCAAATCCAGAGAGACAGAAGACAGCTTGTACTCCCTTCCCTGCTTACTGCCCTCTGAAGCCAATTCTGGACATCTCATAAGTACCTCTCGCTTTCTGCACTGATAACCTCTGGAATTGACATGTGTTTAATGAACGTTCAGGGTGAAATTTGTTTTGCAGGGAACGTCTAGCCAACTGCATTGTGTGGGGTCAAGAAGGAATTTTAGGCAGGGTAATTTGTTCAAGGCCCCTCTCCGCCCCCTTTACACGTGTGGAACTGCTTGGGGAATGGCCAGCTGGCTTTGTGACTAGCACGAGGGCTAGCCAATCAGCGTTGCCAGACGAGGAGAAGTGCTTCTTGACTGGCTGGTCCTTGTGCCAGTCAGTGCCGTGCAAATTCAGCTTCTGCTGCCAAGCAGAAGAGCTGCTTCCCCTTTGCATTTGTTCCTGCTGCAAATTACGTATGCCTCCTGTGCAGCTATAGCAAAGATCTGATGGATGTCGAACAAGCCCAGGGGCTTTTGCTTGTGTGTTTGCTTCCCTCTGCCTTTATAACAACTCTGAGAGGAGAGGCGCCGCGCACCACGAATCAATCACGGTTGTTGTTGTTTTTTAGTGCCCACATTTTGTTCATGGAACAATTCGCTTCTGAGATTCACAACGAAGCAAGAGGGAAGAAAGAGCCAGAAAAGGACAGACGGTATCAGCCAGAGCCGTGACGTGGCTGTCTCTTTGCTCTGTGAGCTGCTTTTTCTTGTTGTGGGGGTGGAAGCCCCGAAGCCACAGAAAAATCCAGCAATTTACACACACACACACACACACACACACACACACACATGAAAAGCAGCAACGAAACACAAGGGGCTCTCAAAAGACTAAACAGATTGCCCATTAAGGCAGAGCAAGAGGGAGAGGTCTCTCCCAGGAAGATGAGGTATGGAGTCAGCTGGTGCCTCTGGCAAAGCGTAGGAGGCACAGGCAGGCAACAACAACAGGAGCAAACAGACCCCTGCAGGCTGGGACAAGGCTCTGGAAGGATGCAGGGATGCAGAGAGGCAGGGAGTGGAAGCCATTGCTGTCAGCCTCATGAATCCTTTTGCTCTAGCCATTAACGGGGCCTGCAGGTCAGTTCTACCAGGGCCTGCAGGCAGCCCGCATTAACCATCAGCAGACCCGAAATGCGCGTGGCCTCTTTTAAATTAGGTAAAGGGACCCCTGACCATTAGGTCCAGTCGTGGCCGACTCTGGGGTTGCGGCGCTCATCTCGCTTTATTGACCGAGGGAGCCAGCATACAGCTTCCGGGTCATGTGGCCAGCATGACTAAGCCGCTTCTGGTGAACCAGAGCAGCACACAGAAACGCCGTTTACCTTCCCACTGAGGAGGTACCTATTTATCTACTAGCACTTTGACGTGCTTTCGAACTGCTAGGTTGGCAGGAGCTGGGACCGAGCAACGGGAGCTCACCCCATCACGGGGATTCGAACCGCCAACCTTCTGATCGGCAAGTCCTAGGCTCTGTGGTTTAACCCACAGCGCCACCTGCATCCCTTTCTTTTAAATTAGAGGCGCACTATTCAACTATTTCCCACGGGGAAGCGTTTGGCAACAGTGCCGGCTCTCCGTTCGAACCTATCCATTCTCCAACAGCCTCCTTGTGTTCCCTCTGCAGCCCAGAGCAAATGCTCCCCCTCAAAACCATCCCTCTTTTTTCCACTGGACATCATCCTCTCTGCACAACCACAGTCTCTGTGCAACTCCGGCTCTCAGGCACTTCCTCTGGTTTCTTCCTTCCTGCATCTCCATTTCTCAAATAACCCCGTATTTTTTCCTCCTTGCACCACCACAGGTCTCTCTGCACCTGCTCTCCTCCTCCTCTCCAATGAAACATCTTGTGCTGGTCCCGGGGGGAGGTTACCGTGGGGCGAGGTCCAGGACCTGAGTCGAGGGTCGGCAGACAGTCCTCCATGGGCGAAGCGGGGTCCACAGCGAGGAGCCGGGCAAGGACAGGAACACTGGAGGAACAGGACTGGATGCTGGCCGAAACAGCTCTTCAACGACCCGCAACCTGGGACCGGGCTGACTGGCCTTTATCTTCTCTGAGGCCAGGGGCGGTCCCTGCCCACAGGTGACCCACCTCTCCTGGCCTTAAGGTGAGCACTCCTCCTGGGAGAAACCAGTTCCCTTCGCCTCTCTGCCCTAAGCCTCTGCAGTTCAGGAGAGGCTGAAGGGTTACTGGGCCCCGGGGGAGACTCACCTGTAGGCACTGAGTCCTTAACCACCTCTGGAGCCAGAATGGATTCACCTGGTGCCTGCTCCTGAGGATCCGGCACAGGTGCAGGCTCCTCAGAATCAAGGGCCTGCCCCAGTTCAGCCGGCCCTGGAGGCGGGGACTCCTGTGCAGGCTGGGATTCCTCCGGTTCACTCTCTGAATCGGATTCCCAGGCCATCACACATCTGCATCTCTTGATATTTTCTCCCCTGACCCTCTTGTGGACCCGGAAGCTGAAAAGCCCCATCAGGCTGCAGTCCTAAGACAGGCGTTTTTGGTCAGCAACGACAAGATGAGCAAACGAGAAGCAGCGGGGTGCCAAACGTCCCCAGCGGGTTCTTGTATTCCAGCTCTTCCAGTATTTGTTAGTTGCTGCGCACAGAGCCCCGCTTTCATACATTCTGGGCACCACAATTTAAGGAGGGTATTGACACGCTGGGACGTGCAGAGGGGAGGGCGACCAAGATGATCAAGGGTCTGGAAACCACGCCTTATGAAGAACGGTCGAAGGAACTGGGCATGTTTAGCCTGAAGAAGAGACTGAGAGGAGATATGATAGCCATCTTCATGGAGGATGCAGGAAGCTTGTTTTCTCCTGCTCCAGAGAGCAGGACCTGAACCAAGGGCTTCAAGTCCCAAGAAAGGAGATTGTGACTAAACATCAGGAAGAAATTTCTGATGGCAAGAGCTGTTTGACAGTGGAATGGTCTCCCTCGGGAGGTGCTGGGCTCTCTTTCCTTGGGAGATTTTAAAGCAGAGGTTGTGTGGCCACCTGTCATGTATGATCTGGTTGAGATTCCTGCATTGCAAGGGGGTGGACTAGATGGCCCTTGGAGTCCCACCCAACTTGACAATTCAGTGATGGGCAATTGTAATCTAGAGCCACAGGAGAAGCAACACTCGCTCCTTAGGCCCACCATCTTCTTTAGCATTTGTTATGTACTGAGTTGAACAGGATCCAAAAGGCAGCAGTCTGATTGGTCCTAGAACAATAGGACCCAGAATGCAGCAGTCTGATTGGTCCACAGGAGCCACCCAATCCAGCTCCAGGTGGAAGCGAATCCGCAACCTGATTGGCCTACAAGAGAACCCCGGAATTAGCCAATCATGTGGGGCCCATGGTGTAAATAATGTATATAAAGCAGACATTCTGGGGTAACTTCCCTTTTCCTCCTCACCACTATGAGCTGAATAAAGAACATGAAATCCACTCTCGACTCCGAGTATATTTCAGCATTCATGTCACTAATAAAACAGGAACTGCAAGATCAACTGTGACTCTCGGGGGCCATTCGATGGGGAACCTGCAGCCCTGAAGATGTCGGTGGACTCAGCCCCAGTCAGCAGAGCAAACAGCCAGGGGGTGATGGATTGTTGCAGTCCACCAACATCTGCAAGGCTACATGTTCCTCATTCCTGGCTTAGGATGTTGTGGCCGGACCGTGTGGGAATAATAATAAATAAAGATGAATGTGATCTTTTTTGCAATGCTTCATCACAGGGGGCCGGCCAGAACACCACCACCATTCTAAGAAACAAATGCCATACACAAATTCCCCATGACTTTGCACTTACCCCCATGGCGGATAGTATTAATGTCCTAATGATATCTTGCTTGTTCTTCAGGCTGTACGCAGCTTAGGGGTTTTTTTTTTATAAAAAAGATAAATGCTTTCAAATAAATAAAACGAGCAGGCTCCCAGCTCCCAACTGACCTCGTCAATTTTGTTGCCCACCAACATCTTCACGACGCTTTTCTTCGTGAAAACATCCAGCTCTTGCAGCCAGCATTCCAGTCCCGCGAAAGTTTCCCTCTTAGTGACGTCATAAACTGGTCAGGAGGGACAAAAACAAACAGGTCTTTCCTCACTCAGATGCATTTTGTGTTCACATGAAAAGAGCAAAACGGGAGGGAGAAGCAGCGGCTGTTTCCCACAGTCTTGGCCTGTCAGGGGGTTCCATGAGGCTGTCCACCCCGCAAATTACGTTCGCCTGTCAGTCAGCTGACGTCATTCCAACAGCTGGTGACATCAGCTTGAAGGATTCTGCTCTGCAGAGCTGCAATTCTCAAAGTTTCCTGTGAAAAGGGACTGGCTGTTAAACCACTCTAGGGATAACAGCTCTATGAGGGGAACAGGGGGCCTTACTAACCGAAGTACAGCTCCCAGGATTCTTTGGGGGAAGCCATGACTGTTCAGAGTGGTACTATAGTGAATGGTGTGAATGTGTGCTTTCTGAGTACGTAAAGGTAAAGGGACCCCTGACCATTAGGTCCAGTCGTGACCGACTCTGGGGTTGCGGTGCTCATCTCGCTTTATTGGCCGAGAGAGCCGGCGTACAGCTTCCGGGTCATGTGGCCAGCATGACTAAGTCGCTTTTGGTGAACCAGAGCAGTGCACGGAAATGCCGTTTACCTTCCCGCTGGAGCGGTACCTATTTATCTACTTGCACTTTGACGTACTTTCGAACTGCTAGGTTGGCAGGAGCAGGGACCTAGCAACGGGCGCTCACCCCGTCACGGGGATTCGAACCGCCAACCTTCTGATCGGCAAGTCCTAGGCTCTGTGGTTTAACCCACAGCGCCACCCGCGTCCCACAGCTTTCTGAGTATTGGGTCACCAATCTTAATAACCTTTGCCCGCTTGAAAACCTTTGCCTCTCCTGTTCCCGTTCATCTCTTTGTGACATCTTTGACTTCTCTGAGTTAGCTTACGATCCTCTTCCTCCCTCCACATGCCTTTTTCCTTTCCTGCCATGCCCTTTAGATTGTAAGCCTGAGGGCATGGACTGCCTTGGTTTGGTTTTTTTTATTGATCTGCAAGCCACTCTGGGGAGTATTTTTGGCTGAAAGGAAGATAAAAAATGCTTTAAATAAACAAAACTGTAAGGAGTGCGGTTTTGTGAATGTCACGGGCACACCTATTGCTGCAGATAGTGTTAACAGCTTTAACCTTGCATGACTGAATCGCTTTTTGGAACTTTTAAACTCCCCCCGACACACACTTTAAAAGGAACCTGTGAGAATATTGCAGCTAGGTGAAAATGCAATGGGGGGGGTGTCCCTCTGTTTTCTTTGGGAAAAGGCTGGAAAGGCTATTTACTCTATGGCCTAAAACCAATGTCAAATGGAAATGTCTCGGAAGCCAAGCTGAAACGCCTTCAGCCTTTATGTCTGAAAATTTTTCAAGAAGTAGAGGCTCTCTGCCAATAGAACAACCATTGCCAACCCTTGGACATAGTGGCATGGACGCGAAGCAGCATTAATTGCTGTTCTACATCCACCAGTGCCAGCATGACCCATAAGAGGAAAGTGTGTACTTTCATCTACGTAGTCTGTCTTAATGTGTTTCACTTCAGAGTTGTCTAATTACAACCCCGCTATGCCTGCCACGTACCTAAAATTATACCTTGAGCACCTCGGTAATAGCTCGGAGTTAAAGTCCGGAATCGCTCCTGCCCTGCCGTGTCCTACGGAAAGGGAAACAAAGGTGTTTAGAACAAAGAGACCATTTAAAGTTCTGTAGCCCCAACGTAAGGGACGCAGGTGGCGCTGTGGGTTAAACCACAGAGCCTAGGACTTGCTGTTCAGAAGGTCGGCGGTTCGAATCCCCACGACGGGGTGAGCTCCCGTTGCTCGGCCCCTGCTTCTGCCAACCTAGCAGTTTGAAAGCACGTCAAGTGCAAGTAGATAAATAGGTACCACTCCAGAGGGAAGGTAAACGGTGTTTCCATGCACTGCTCTGGTTCGCCAGAAGCGGCTTAGTCATGCTGGCCACATGACCCGGAAGCTGTACGCCGGCTCCCTCGGCCAAAAAAGCGAGATGAGCGCCGCAACCCCAGAGTTGGCCACGATTGGACCTAATGGTCACGAGTCCCTTTACTTTTACCTAGTACCAACGTAAATATAATAATAAACTAATATTTTTTTTTTTATAAAATTTTTATTGGTTTTAGAAACTTTTTAAACAAAAAACAAACAAACACCAAAAATGACAAACATACACGTATAGTTTCAAACATATTTTCATAAACTTCTTTCCTTTGACTTCCCCATACCCCCCCTCTCTGCATCCCAGTGTCCAAAGTTCAACTAGCAACTCCCAATTGTTATTTTCCAATCTCTATCTTCTTAGTCCTTTTTTAATTTTCTAACCTTATATCCCTGTATCCCTTTGTTTCTAAAAACCGCAACATTTTAGCATTCATTAAGTTTATAGTAGTCCTTAAGATAACTTTTAAATTTTCTCCATTCTTCTTCCACCGTCTCTTTTCGTTGGTCACGGATTCTGCCTGTCATCTCGGCCAGTGTCATATAGTCCATCACTTTCATCTGCCATTCTTCCAAAGTGGGTAGATCTTGGGTCTTCCAATACTTTGCGATGAGTATTCTTGCTGCTGTTGTAGCATACATAAAGAAAGTTCTATCCCTCTTTGTCACCAATTGGCCGGCAATGCCCAAGAGAAATGCCTCTGGTTTTTTCGAGAAGGTACATTTGAGTACCTTTTTAATTTCATTATAGATCATTTCCCAGAAGGCCTTAATCTTCGGGCATGTCCACCAAAGGTGGTAGAAGGTACCTTCAGTCTCTTTACACTTCCAACATTTGTTATCGGGCAGATGATAAATTTTTGCCAGCTTGACTGGGGTCATGTACCACCTGTAAATCATTTTCATTATGTTTTCTCTTAAGGCATTACATGCCGTAAACTTAACACCGGTGGTCCATAACTGTTCCCAGTCGGCAAACATAATGTCATGACCAATGTCTTGTGCCCATTTAATCATGGCTGATTTCACCGTTTCATCCTGTGTATTCCATTTCAGCAACAAATTATACATTCTTGACAAATTCTTAGTGTTGGGTTCTAACAGTTCAATTTCTAGTTTCGATTTATCCACTTGAAAGCCAATTTTCCTGTCCTGTTTGAAAAGCTCCATTACTTGGTAGTATTGAAGCCAGTTTTGTACTTTATCCTTCAATTTGTCATAACTTTGTAATTTCCACTTATCTCCATCCTGTTCCAAAATTTCCCAATACTTCGGCCATCCGACCTCCATATTGAGTTTCTTTACTGCTTTAGCCTCGACTGGTGACACCCATCTAGGGGTTTTGTTTTCCAACAGATCTTTATATCTCATCCATACATTAAACAATGCTTTTCTAACAATGTGATTTTTAAAGGCACTATGCTGCTTAATTTTGTCATACCATAAATATGCATGCCAACCAAAAACATTATTAAAGCCTTCCAGATCCAAGATGTCTGTGTTCTCGAGGAGCATCCATTCCTTCAACCAGCAAAAAGCTGCTGCCTCATAATACAATTTTAAGTCCGGCAGGGCAAACCCCCCTCTTTCTTTAGCATCTGTCAATATTTTAAATTTAATTCTGGGCTTTTTGCCCTGCCAGACAATATAATAATAAACTAATAGCTCCACACACACACCCAGCCACACACACACCCGCCACTGCCAGCCCCAGGACCCTATTGCCTTCCATAGGGACATCCCAGGAAAACAGGGCCTGGGGAGATGTCATGAGACTGGTTGGAAGCAGAGGAATGGTGGGAGGAACTAGCTGGGGAACTCACAAGAGGGCTCAGAGCCTGAGGAGTGGTGGTGGGACAATAAGGAGGGAGAAGGCTGGGAAGAGATGTCGGAAGCTGCAGAGGTAACAGGGTTTAGTGAGCAGGGCGAGTCTGTGGCAGAGAATCTGAATCTACAGGAGAGGAGGGAGGCCAAGAAATAGAGATGAGTCAGTGTGATGGCCTGGGATTCGGACTCGGAGGCTGAACCTGAGGAATCCCAGCCTGCACAGGATTCCCTGCCTCCAGAACCAGCTGAGCCAAGGCTGGGGCTTGAGCCTGAAGGGTCCTCACCTGTGCTGGATCCTCAGCTGCAGGCACCAGCTGAGTCTGCTCTGGCTCCTGAGGTGATGGAGGACCCATTGCCTGCAGGTGCTCCACTCTCAGCCCCGTCAGGGGAAGCTGAGATTGCCTCTGGGTCCAGTAACCCTCCAGCCTCTCCTGAGCTACAGAGGCTCAGGGCACAGAGGCAGAGGGAACTAAGTTCCTGCAGGAGGAGTGCTCGCCTCCAGGCCAGGAGAGGAGAGTCACCTGTGGACCAGGGCCGCCCTATGCCTCGGGGCAGATAAAAGCCAGCCAGCCCAGTCCCAGGTTGCGGGAGCAACATTGTTGGTAGCCTGTTTCTGCCTGCACCCTGTCCTGCTCTCCTTCCAGAGTTCCTGACCTCACCCAACTCCCTGCCTTGGACCCCGCTTCAGCTTTGATGGACAGCCTCCTCGACCTCAGACTGGACTCGGACCTCGCCGCACTGTTAACCCTCAGGACCAGCACGGTCAGGCTAGTGAAGTGCCACAAGTGTCTCCCCTCCTCCTTAGTCTCCCAAAATCAGTAGAGGCATGAAAAGGGCAGAGGAGAGTTTGGCTTCACACAGGCGTAGTCTCTGATTTCATGGAAAAAGCTCCGGAGACAGTAGCGGAGGAAGGAAGGGGCAGGGCGCACTGGGCGTCATGGGGGTCTGCAGGGTTGTACAGGGGTTGCTGGGCAATATGTAATATGTGTGCTGCAGGACAGAGGAGTCACTGCCTGTTTCTCAGAAAGCCGGATAAAAACAAGCTCAACAACTTTGGGGGATCTCTAAAAAAAAGGTCCACTAGTTGCTGTGCCGCTGCTTGTAGAGAAGGGAACTTACTTACATAGCTGTGGGAAGGCGAGGACTTTCAGTCCTTCATCACTTTACAAAACATTAAAAGTCTTTTTGAAAAATTAAAACGTGGATCTGTTGCCCTGGGGTGACAGAGCCCTTTAATCCACTTAAAACGCACAACCCCAAAGTTCTGATATGCACTTGAATCCCTCCCACAAAATACAGGCCCCCTGCTTTTCCCTTTTCACAAAAGTGCTTCTGCTCAGTGCTTTGAGGTGTCACAGCTCTGAAACACAAACACTGCTGGAGAGCAGACCCAGCAGTCTTATATTGGGGTATTTGTACAAACACGGATAGTTTTAGCACCCTAGTCAGGATACGGCTGCTGCTCTGCTTTCTTAGAAGGTAGAACTACACTCACAAAACAACGTCTCACTTTTCTCAAAGCCATTTTAAAATCAAACAAACAAACAAACAAACAAACAAACAAACAAACCCAAGGCTTTCTTTACAGTGGTACCTCAGGTTAAGTACTTAATTCGTTCCGGAGGTCCGTTCTTAACCTGAAACTGTTCTTAACCTGAAACTGTTCTTAACTGTTCTTAACCTAATGGGGCCTCCTGCTGCCACTGCGCCGCCGGAGCACGATTTCTGTTCTTATCCTGAAGCAAAGTTCTTAACCTGAAGCACTATTTCTGGGTTAGCGGAGTCTGTACCCTGAAGCGTCTGTAACCTGAAGCGTATGTAACCTGAGGTACCACTGTATTTTTCACTAGAAAAAAAACATGCTCCATGTTTGCAGAAAATAAAATGGCTGCCATGTCCTGTATTGATAAAGTTTGTCCTATATTTCAGGTCCTCTCTCTCTCTGTGTGTGTGAGTGTCTCTCTCTCTGTCTTTCCCTCTGCCAAGTTAGGGATCCTCTCCCAAGAACGTGTTTGAAAGGGTGTGCAAAAGGCCATGTATTTGAGCTCTGGCTAGCCAAGCACAGACTGATTTACAAATCTGTGTGTATGTCTGCGCGTGTGACAAATTCCAGAGGGGCCATCGCACGAGGCTGCAATAGATTGTAATGGACTGCTTTGAAGTCACTTCAGCACCAGATGGGAAGAAGAAAAAAAAAGTACCAGCAGCCTGGTTTGCAACAGAGAGAAAAGGCACTATTTACCCATATTGCGAGTTGCACGGGAAAGTCACCAAGCACCATCTTCTTCACTTTGAAATCAACACCTGGGGAGAGAAAGAGGAGAGTCAGAACAGACCCACCTGTTTTTGGAGAGGGCTTATCGGATACTGCGTGGCAGACATAACAATTCCAACAGGAGGAGAGATGGGATCTGTTATGTACTGAAGTTCTCACCCTGGGCCAACAGGGGGATACTGTAGATAGTTATGCAAATAAGGGATCGAAACGTTCAGTGATTGGATAGTTTTAGAAAATTGTTACAGTTACGTTGTACTGGAGCTCTATATAAGCAGGCTGACTGAACCCTTCAGTTCAGTTCTGTTCTGGCCTGTGAATAAACAAGAGCTGTTTGAAGAATCGCTGTGTCGTCTGATATGTTCACCCACAGCTTAACAGGATCGAAATAAAATGTTCAAACAGATAAGTGCGAGGGTGCCTCTTCCCACCCCTGTCGCACTGATATGCGGCCCCTGGAAGATGGCCTATGAAGGAAAGTGGCCCACAGGAGGAAATTCCCTGTCCTTGCATTATCCACACAGAGAGGCTGGTTAATGCTGGAAGGCACAGCTCTATTTGAGTCTCCCTGCCTGGACTTGCAAGTCAGGTGGTGGCCTGGGGCAGGAGAGCATTTCGGGCAGCAGTAAGGCAGCGTACAATCCCAGAGTGCCCTTTGCTATCGCTGAGGAGCAAAATGAGTAGCAAAATGGATTGAGCTGATCCAGGGCCAGGACTGGAACGAAGTACAGTGGTACCTCAGGTTAAGTACTTAATTCGTGCCAGAGGTCCGTTTTTAACCTGAAACTGTTCTTAACCTGAAGCACCACTTTAGCTAATGGGGCCTCCCGCTGCCGCTGGAGCACAATTTCTGTTCTTATCCTGAAGCAAAATTCTTAACCTGAAGAACTACCGTATTTTTTGCTCTATAAGACTCACTTTTTCCCTCCTAAAAAGTAAGGGGAAATGTGTGTGCGTCTTATGGAGCGAATGCAGGCTGCGCAGCTATCCCAGAAGCCAGAACAGCAAGAGGGATTGCACCTTTCACTGCGCAGCGATCCCTCTTGCTGTTCTGGCTTCTGCGATTCAGAATATTTTTTTCTTGTTTTCCTCCTCCAAAAACTAGGCGCGTCTTGTGGTCTGGTGCGTCTTATAGAGCGAAAAATACGGTATTTCTGGGTTAGCAGAGTCTGTAAACTGAAGCGTATGTAACCCGAGATACCACTGTATACAGCAGCCGATCGGAAATGTGCCTCTGAACACGCACAAATTGTCCCCAGCGCCACATGACAGCATTCAAACTCTGCGCACGCCAGATTAGTAAACGAGGCTTCACTTTCAGAAAGAGATGCCTCAACGGTATTTTTGTAATATGCGGTTCACTATGCGCAGAAAAGGAAGGAGGAGAGAACACCCTCCGAGGAAGAACGGTTGGTGAAAGCCGGGCTTAGGGCAGCTAACAACAATAAAAGAATACAACATTCTAAAATCATTTCATTATAAAATTAATTCAAATCAAATTGATGGCAACCATTGGGCTAGAGTTCTGTGAAGATTGCCAAAGGAGGGAGTCAGGCTGTGCCCTGACCAAAGGCTTGGTTGGAACAGCTCTGTCTTGCAGGCCCTGCGGAAAGATGTCAAGTCCCGCAGGGCCCTAGTCTCTTGTGACAGAGCGTTCCACCAGATCGGAGCCACAGCCGAAAAAGCCCTGGCTCTAGTTGAGGCCAGCCTAACCTGTCTGTGGCCTGGGACCTTCAAGATGTTTTTGTTTGAAGACCGTAAGTTCCTCTGTGGGGCATACCAGGAGAGGCGGTCCCGTAGGTACGTGGGTCCTAGGCCGTATAGGGCTTTGAAGGTTAAAACCAGCACCTTAAACCTGACCCTGTACTCCACCGGGAGCCAGTGCATTGAGACTGTCAAGCACAGCCGCACCCCACATCTGTCTTCCTCTGGAAAAAAATAATATCCTGGGAATGCTAGTTTGTGAAGGGTGCTGAGAATTGCAACTATAGTTCCCAGGGTTCTTTGGGAGGCAGGGAAGCCAGGAGCTGCGGACAGGACCTGTGTTAAGAGATGGTGACATTTGAATCCCGGGCTTCCAAGGAGGAATGGAGGGGAACCCAAATGCCCACAACATAAAGGGCAAGTTCCACCCCCCTCTCTTTCCAGAGAACAGGTGATGCTCACCAATGGTTGGGTTCAAGTAGGGCTCAAACTGATCCTCAGTGAATCTCAGCAGAAGGCTGTGGGAGGAGACAAGGAGAAAGAGGTGAGTTGAAGAGACAATCTGAGACTTGCTTCTCTCTCTCTCTCTCTCTCTCTCTCTCTCTCTCTCTCTCCAACTGGAGCAGTTTCCCCCCAGCCCCCTCAGTGAGCCTCCCCTCCCCCACTTCCCATGCACCTGGATTTTCCTACTCCGCTGTCTCCGACCAAGAGTAGCTTCAGGATGGGCAGTGACCCAGCGTCTTCTCGCGCCATGGCGAGCTCTGTTGCCAGACGGAGCAAGGAATTTGGCAGGAGCAAAACAAGGGGCGGCCCGCCCAACATCTGAGCCAGAAACACTGGAAGGAGAGAGGAGGAGGAGTCAGAATAAATATAGGTCGCCACCACCACCCCTTCCTTAGGCAAGGTGCACATTATGAACTAGAGAGCTGCATGAGGTTAGTTTGTGGCAGCGACTAGTTTCTAAAAATAGGTGTCTCAAGTCTTGCCTCCAAATCTGAAAACTGGGCTCTGCTTGATCAGTGGTAAGGGAAAGGCACAACACTCAGGCTTCACAGACAGGGTAGCTCAGTTGGTTAGAGCATGGGTAGGCAAACTAAGGCCCGGGGGCTGGATCCGGCCCAATCGCCTTCTGATTCCGGTCCGCGGATGGTCCAGGAATCAGCATGTTTTTACATGAGTAGAATGTGTCCTTTTCTTTAAACTGCATCTCTGGGTTATTTGTGGGGCCTGCCTGGTGTTTTTACATGAGTAGAATGTGTGCTTTTATTAAAAATGCATCTCTGGGTTATTTGTGGGGCATAGGAATTCGTTCGTTCCCCCCCCCCCCAAAAAAAATATAGTCCGGCCCCCCACAAGGTCTGAGGCACAGTGGACTGGCCCCCTGCTGAAAAAGTTTGCTGACCACTGGGTTAGAGCGTGGTGCTGATAATGCCAAAGTTGCAGGTTCGATCCCCGTAAGGGACATCTGCATATTCCTGCGTTACAGAGGGTTGCACTAGAAGATTCACAGGGTCCCTTCCAACTCTATAATCCTACGAGCCTCAGCAAACCTGCGCTTGCAAAACGATGGAACAACAATTGGGCAATGTTCTCCTTCTTCTGCTTGAAGGCAGATACTAGACTCAGTTCCCATGCCCACGTTCAGCATCACGGTTTAACCTTCAAATATATCTGTGAAGTCTGCCCTGCTACGTATAGCGCAGTGTGCCCAGACCTGTGGACCTCTAGATATTGCTGGACTGCAACTCCCATCATCCCCTGACAATTGGCCACGTTGCTGGCGGAGGCTGATGGGAGTTGGAGTCCAACGGCATCGGTAAGGCCACAGGTTCCCCAGCTCCGCTATAGGGGATCTAAGAAGTGCTGTGCCTGATTTTTTTTTAGGCACCAGATGGAGTTTTCGCAGAATAGCACTGATTCCTACAGGATTTGCACCCAAGTATGAGTGCACAGGATCCCATCTTCAGGCTGAGATCCTAAACGTATTTTAAACCACTGAGATCCATTGGCTGGTTTCCACGGCGGGTAAAAAACCAGACTGAATTTCGTATTGATTGCTCCTGTAGAAATCGAGAAAGCAAGGGTTCTCTTGGGACTAACAGCCACGCGTTGGCGCAGAGAAGGGGCTCAAAAGCGGGATTTCCCCCACCTTACCCGCACAAAAGAGATCCGGAGCAGGGGAAGGTCGTCATATAGCTAAGCTTTGATTCGGAGCCGGGCCAGCAAGAGGCCCAAGTCGCCTCCGGAACATGAGAAGCTGTCTCAAGGCGGAAGAGTTGGGGGTTTTTCGCTCCCGCCGAGAGAGAGAGAACCCATCCCTCTCCCGCACACCTCGAATTCAGGAGGGCACCTGTAGCTTTAAACCATAAACACCAAGATTTAACGGATCCGGAGTAAAAAAAAAAAACGGGAGGAAAGCTATTTTGGCCCGTGTGTGTGATTGCCGGTGCAAATCGGTGACTCCCGAATGGAGCAACTGGGCGCGCTCTCGATGGCCTAAGGGAGCGAGGTGGTGGGTGGAAACGGGTCCGGGGGGCGGCCGCGCTTTCCTGGCGCTGCGCCCAGGGCGCACGAACTCGTCGGCTTCCTCCCGGCCTGGCGCTGGGAGTTGCCCGGCGCGCACCAGCTGATCGCGGCCCCTCCTATCAGGCCGGGCCCGGGGAAAGGAGCGGGGAGGCAGCCCTGCCCATAGCGGCGGGGCGAGCGAGCCATGTCAGAGTTCCAGATTTCGGTGGAAGAGCTCAACGACCTGCTGGCCAACGGCAGCGGCTGCTACAGCCTCCCCAGCGCGCACAGCAACGAGGTGGCGCCCCGCATCCACGTGGGCAACGCGTGAGTTTCTCCCCCAAACCTCAACCCCCCACCCCCACCCCACCCCGCGCTCCCCTCCCCGGTTGGTGGAGGGGGGGGAAGCAAGAACACCCTACCCCAATCCATGAAGCTGTCTGTAGGCCTGGGAAAGAGCGAAAGATGAAAACTGGGACGAGGCGGGGGGGGGGTCAGGTTGAGGACGGCGAGGTGGGCTGCAAAACGGGGAGGACGTTGCTGGTGGGGGTGGGGGGGCAGAGAATGAGTCCTTCTCCCACCGCGGGGAGGGGAAGGTCCCTAATTCCAGTGACAGGGCTAGGGACCCCCACCCCCCTCCCTCGCGTGGTGTTTATTACAGTTGACAGGTTTGGTTGCCGTCATCGTGCGTATAGTTGAACCTCTTCTTAGGGCTGTGGGGCAGCTAAGTGTTCATTGCCCTCCGGGTTGGAGGGCTGCTGCTGCTCCCATGTTAAAGTTTGGGGGACAGAAGGCAAGCGATTGCCGCTCGTCCAAATGCCTGCAGGTGATTGGAACCCAGGCCCCTGCCAAACCGATGGAGGGCAAAGGAGAGGCGAGAGACCTCTGGGATGCTAAATTTGCTACGTACAAATATATGAAGCGGATTTGATATGCACTTGGTCTTATCTGCACCTATATTGTCTACTCGGACTGGCAGCAGCTCTCCAGGGTTTCAGGTTCAGCCTTTTCCATCTCCCGCAATCCTTCAGATACTCAAAATGCCAGGGATTGAAGATTGGACCTTCTGTTCAACCCAAGGGGGCAGCTCCCCCCGCCATCAAGTAAATAAATAAAAATACTGAACTAACTGACCCATCACGCCACAGATAGCTTGGCTCTGGCCCGTCTGCCCCCCGCCCCAAACATAAATCCTGAACCCCTGACATAAATCCTGCTTGTGCCAATGTGTTCAACCCTGAGATTTGGTCATGTCATGTTGAGAGAAATGTATTCTGTGGCTGTGTACACACCATACATTTAAAACACCCCTGCCAAGAATCCTGGTAACTGTAGCTCCTCCCTCACAGAGCCATAATTCCCAGTATCCTTAAGAAACAATAATTCCCAGTATTCTTTGGGGGAAGCCCTGTACTTTAACTGGTGGGTAAAACCAAGGCCACAATCTGCCAAATAAAAACAGGTATACTTCCGTTTCGTGAGAGAAGAGGGAGGGAGAGATCTTTGGAACAGGTTGAGTGCAAGTAACCAAACTTCAGTGATAGTTTGGGCGGCTTGTAAGCCATTTTGACATCTTGTTCCAGGAAGTTAAACTCTGTTTGTTGCACTAGCGGCTGCCTCCACATCTCCTTAGGACTTAGCACTGGGATGTTTCTACAAGTGATGTTTCAAAAACCCTGACTTCTGCCTTCCTCGTATCTGTAAATTGTATGAGAAAGCTTTCTTGGCTGGCGTGTACCTTGGCTTCCGTCAGGGCTTTGCAACCCGCTCTTTGCTCTTAACTTTTGGAAGATGGTAAAGATTTGCAGGTCCCATTAAACACTTTTAATAGAGTAGGAATTGGCCCCAGTCTTTCTCTGCACGTATCTGGAGGGGAAACTTTAGGGCATCTCTGTTTCGAGAGACAATGAAGTGTGCCTTTCGGGGGGTGAAACCAAAGTGCTGGAAAATCACAGCGCCTGCTGTGGCTGCAGAGACTGGTAAGATGTAACTATCACAGAATCGTAGAGTTGAGAGGGACCCTGAGGATCATCTAGTTCAACCCCCTGCAATGTAGGAAAACGCAGCTGTCCCATACAGGAATCGAACCTGCAACCTTGGTGTTATCAGCACCATGCTGTAACCAACTCAGCTATGCTGCCTCCCAACCTTTCAAGTCAAGTCAATAACTCAGCTGTAATTGGACTTCATCCCTAACCATTGGCAATGATGGCTGGGGCTGATGGGAGTTGGTTTCTTGTTTCTGCCCTAAAATAAGCCCCCTTTTTACCCTCTTCCAGCACCATCTTCCTTCCTTGCGGCGTGGTTTTTCCGGAAAGCAAGTAGGTTTGGGTGTGTCGCCGCCTTACATATTTGGAAATGCATGAGCTTATATGCAAGGCACAGCCATAAAATTAGGCTGCCCAGCTCAGTATTTTCTCTCTCTCTCTTACTGACCGGGGCCACTTCCAAATGACCTCTGATTTATTTGTGGGAAGGTTAGCTGGCGTTGCGTCAAGCAAGTACGTTTCCCCTCTCATTATTTGCAAAAGGTCCAATCCTTTGGGAAAGCGGGTTTGCTGTGCAAGGGCCTCCCGATCCTCCATAATTGCACAGCCCAAATTTGCTGGCATCTGATTGAATCCCGCTCAAAAACAGTGATGCTCTGAAAGTGCTCCAGCATTGGCTACAGGAAGAGAAGCCACTCGCTGTTCATTCTTCCTTCTTGGGATTTTAAAAATGTGCGATGGCCTTTGGAACCTGCTGCATTTGTGCGCTCTAAGTGCTGAGCTTTGGCCTTTTCCCATAAAGTCACCTGTAAATACCCAAACAGCATCGTGGCATTTTCTAGGCCAGCTGGCTTACTGTAGTAAGAAGGCAGGTTTTATATATTTGCAATCTGCAGTCTGAAAACAACTCATGATTTCCCTTGTAAGTTTAGCAGACCTTCCAGGTGTCCCTATGTTCCAGAGACAGTCCCAGATTTACAAAAGCCACCCCAGTTTCTGATTTGGTCCTGGAATGTCCCAATTTTCCTTAGGACGTTCCTATTTCATTCAGATAAATGTTGGAGGGTACGGATTTATGCGACCCCCCGAGCCAAGTAGAAGGCAGCCTTGTATAAGGAAGGGTTTTTTTAATGTTTCATTTTTTAATTTGATTTTTACAGTGGTACCTCGGGTTACATATGCTTCAGGTTACATACACTTCAGGTTACAGATTCCGCTAACCCAGAAATAGTGCTTCAGGTTAAGAACTTTGCTTCAGGATGAGAACAGAAATCGTGCTCTGGCGGCGCGGCAGCAGCAGGAGGCCCCATTAGCTAAAGTGGTGCTTCAGGTTAAGAACAGTTTCAGGTTAAGAACGGACCTCCGGAACGAATTAAGTACTTAACCCGAGGTACCACTGTATATAGGTTGGAAGCCTCCCAGAGTGGCTGGGGCAACCCAGTCAGATGGATGGGCTAGAAATCATTATTATTATTAATATTATTATTATTGAATAGGACGTCCCTATTTCCATTGGAGAAATGTTGGAGGGTATGAGTTAAGGCCTGGATATATACATACAGTGGGATGAAAAATCCTGAAGTGACAAGATGTAATGTACTTCTTCATATCGCAAAGGGAAATGAATGCTCGCCTACATTTTTATTTTATTTTAAACCAAACAAAAACTTGTTACAAGAAGAAAATCAGCAGAGCAGATAAGAGGCTGACTAGAACTTTGCTTGCTCGTCCATCCTTCTGCTGTCAGGGAGCTTTTTACATTGCAGGGGGTTGCATTTCAAAATGGCTGCCCCCCTGCTCATTCCTTCACCTCAGAGCTTTCCCGCCTCGTTCCACTGCAGGCGTAGGCCTCAGTTTAGCCCTCCATTCATAGTACTTGCTGGGGTGCCCTGTGAATGGCGCCTGGATCACCTTTGTGAAAAGGCCATGTGTAGCCCTATTCCAGTTCAACCAGTTCAACCAGAGGCAAACGTCGTAAAATCGTAGATTTGTGGCGTTGGAAGGGACCCTGAGGGTCACCCAACTCCCTGCAATGCAGGAATCTCAACTAAAGAACCGCCAAACATTAAGCAGACCTTTTGGACTGAGCTGCTGAAGCTCGTAGGCCGCAGGTTTAGCCACAGATCAACTCTAACCTAGCCCTAGACTTGTCATCCAGAAATGTCAGGCAATATTTATATGAACACAGGATTTGTACATATGGATTTATACGTTTTGGGTTGGGAGATATATCAATATATTGTGCAAAACCGGTTTGAAGTCCATATTGCGATACGGGTTTCATAATTTTTGACCTGGCAATATATCGCGAATCATGGTGTGTGTGTGTGTGTGTGTGTGCTATGCAGAAATCACAATGCGGGAAAAACTGAAGCCAGCCAATGCCTCTACACAGTTCCATCCTTATGTCAGACATCGGACTCAGCTACATCGGCAAAGAAAAAGCACTTTATGTGCGTCGTATATACCGGTATGCATTATAACACTGTGACACCAGGTGACGCTGTGGGGTTCCGTTTTTGCAAGCTTATATATGAGTTTCTAATGCTCCGGCCATTGCCACTTATGCCAGCTGTAGGAAGCATAACTGTAATTGACCAGAAGGGAGACCTGTCCCTATTGTGAGACAGCAAGCCTCTCTTTTGCAGAGTCAGCATTTCTAAGCCCATCGATGTCAATGGGCTTTCAGCCACTTAACTCTGGCAGCGCCAGCCCATGCAGTGTCCAAGGGGGAATGATTAGCGTCACTAGGTGCCCGATTTGGGAAATTGCCCTTGGCACCAGCTTGCCCCCTTCAGGCTTCTACTTGCCAAGCTTCTACTTTAATAGGGATTGATTATCCCTAAAGATCCTGTAATTACCTCGAGGCGCTGGCGGTTGTGGCTGGAAAAGAAGGAAAGTCTTCCTCTGCTGGCGCTGTGTACCTTTATGCAAATCAGGATATTAATCCCTTTCTGTGAGCACATAGGGTGCGAGGCCCTCCAGATTGGGGTCCAGCTGGAGTCAACCAATATTTTGGGGTCACAGGCTCCCCACCCAGCAAAGACCCAGAGGTCATAATGGCTGCGCAGTGTTGGAAGCCGTGGGTAGGCAGATACTTTTAAGTTCACGTGCTCTTAAATCCTGGTACCCTCAGGACATAGTTGCCACTTACGATTTTACATTGCTCTTTTAATTTCCAAAGCACTTCGAAATGTTTTGTGTCTTTCTAACAATAACCTGACACCATGTCCAACCGTGGTTTGCATACTGCTAACTGTAGTTAATAACCCAAACCCTAGTTTGAGCATGGAAAAGTACAGGAAAACCATTTTTAGACTACTTGCCTGTTTTCTGTGATCATCTTGATCAGTATTCCAGTTTCTTGTTGCATCAGCCTCGAGGCAGATCAACAGCCCTTTGGTTTGTTGAGTCTGACAACATGCAAAACACGATTGGCATCTTTTTCCAGGCCTTTGGCTAATTAAGCAATCTATGGCATTTTAAACTGGAGGGAGGTGTTTTTGTTTGTTATGGTGGTATGCATTTTTGTGTTTTTATATTGTAAA